TTGACATTCCTTCCTATGTGTCAAAATCTGGCCAATGTTGTGATTGAATGTTGTAGTAATCAATTGACACCTTGTGGAAGAGTTTCTAACTTAATAAATAAGAGAATGTACATGTAGCATAATTGTTTTGCCATTTTGTTTTTTTGTGCGATCTTGTAAAAACTGACTTCCTTTCTTTTCTTCTCCATGCAGAACTCCTTGATGAAGCAGAATTTGGAAAAGCTGCAGCAAAATTGGAGTATGATGAGAATGCTACTACTTCTGCTTCAGATCTTGGTTTGCTGGTTGGTAATCTAGTTTTTGAAATTTTATATAGTAAAATGTATTATATACTTATGGGCACTTGATTGGTTAGTCTTCTGTTACAACTGCCCTTTGATTGACAGGAGAAAGTCGATGAACCACAGATGCTTTTTCTTCAGCTTCCTCCCAATCTTCCCTTCACCAAGCGGCCTGATAGTGTAAGCAGGAGAGACACAGCCGATCACTTAAAATCTTCCACGATGTCAGAGACCAATCAGAAAGTGACAGCTGGCAATGTCCCCGGGTTTTCAGGGTATTCTGCTGGTACGAAAGGAAAAGAGATTATGGGGAGCTCAATGTATCCGGGGAGTTCATATGGTTCAAGAAAAGGATGTAGTTTGGAGGAGCTGCCTGGGGGATACATGGGCAAAATGTTGGTGTACAGAAGTGGTGCAGTTAAGTTGAAGTTGGGAGATGTTCTGTATGATGTGAGTCATATCTACTTTGCATTTTTCGTATTATGAATTTTTTGTTTCTCTACAAGCATTGCCATTTCACTCGTGTTCTGAGAACTAATTATTTGAAGATTTTCTACGAAGAAAAGTTAATTAATTGGTTCAAACTAGTCATATTATTGAACGCTTTCCGATATCTATTTCATTTATCATGCAGGTTTCTCCGGGTTCTGATAGTACTTTTGCTCAAAATGTTGTTGCTGTCAACACCGTTGATCAACATTGTTGTGAGCTGGGCGAACTCAGCAAGCGGGCCGTTTTAACTCCAGACATTGATTCTCTTTTGGATCATGTGATTGATTTGGGGTAAGGCTATTTGGCAATATCAAGTTTACGCGAAGATTTCAAGCATTTTATTATAGTAGCGATTCGATCTTGTGCTTAAGAAGATATGTGACTCCCATCCACTGAAGTGAAAACTCGAGTAGTATATAGTAGAAGCCTCAATTCGAGATGTATATTGAAGTGATGAGACTCCAGTCCACCGAACCTGAAAACTCAAGCAGTATCTCTTGTCCCTTGAACTTGAAAACTAGAGCTGTACGTAGTAGAACAACCCAACTAAGTATCAATATGAAACGTATATTGTGCGAATCTGTAGCTTGTTTTTTTTCTCTCTCTTTTTTCTGTAAGATGCAGGCATGCAATGTACAGCATCACCCTATGAACATTCAGAATCCTACTAATGTTAAATATTTGTAATGGCCATTCTATCCAACAATTATACTTATGCAACTGCAATAATTTGACCATGTTCAGAGTGTCGAAATTGGATTAAAAAAATCTGCATTTCAGGAAACTTATTGCCCTCGAGTTCACTCGTTGTGGGCCAAATTTTAACTTACAAGATATCAAAAAGAATAATGCTATTTGTTATTATGATGATAGAATATCGGTGGTGTGACACTCTATGTGGAATAATGAGATTATGCAGTTCAATTTTTATTAGAGAGGGAGGAGAAAGAAAGAGAAATGTGAGGAATAATAGATTGTTACATTATCGATGTTCCATTAGCATGATGATAAATAGCATTATTCGATCAAAATCGATAATTTATTTCCAATGTTCATTACTAGGAGATTCATTAACTAGAGTTTTTGTTGCCTATGGGTTTTTTTTTTTGTTTCGTTTTTGTTTTCTGAAAGTTAGATTTATTGTTTGGTTCATTATTTCAGGTAAATTACTAAATATTTAATTTCGAAACTTGTAGGCATTCTCATAATCACACTGTTTTTAGCCGGGGTTCATCACTTCTAGCTGCATCAAATACTTTCCCGCATATTAATAAAGTAGGAATTACTTTATTAATATTAATTAAAAATTGTAATCTCTCTATTCACTTGGGACTATTAAGTCCTTGTTTGATTTAGGTAAAGATTAGATATTTAATAAATTTTAATAAAAGTTAATGAGAATGGGTAATTGAAAAATTGATAATTTTTTGAATATTATGACCCCCATTAAATTAAGAGAAATGCTATCCATCCCCACTGGGGATGTATCCTCAGTCTATGTGGCGTTAATGTGGCATTAAATGATATGTGAAATTAAAGTCATTTAATTTCACATATCATTTAACCAATCATTTACATCCACATAGATTGGGGATTCATCCCCACTGGGAATGAATAGCATTTTTCTTAAATTAAAATTCATTTTTATTTCCGTTCTTATCAATCACACATTTTCTAATAAAATAATATTATACATAAATTTTAAAAAAAATTCTTTTTTTAACCACGCATTCTTTAAAAAATTATTATTTCTCATTATAATGAGAAATAATGGAGCCCAAACGAGCATGTGTAGTTGAAAATGAATTTTAAAAAATGAGGGCCAAACATGTTCTAAAATATATAAATCATTTATAAATGTTTAAACTTCATTTTCAATTACATATTTTAATAAACTCACAAATATTATCTACGTCTCGATCACTTATTTATATCTATTTATAATTTCTTCCTTAATGAAAAATGATGCTGAAAATAAAATTTTAAGTTTTCATGCTATATCTGTCACTAATACATTGGTTTTTAAATAATTGATATATTCCGTTCAAATCTATTAAGCCTACGTTGGGCTCCCATTTTTTAAAATAAATCATTTTTAAAACTCATTTTCAATTACACATTCGCTCGTAAGATAATTTTAAACGTAAATTCAAAAAAATTTCTTACTTTTTAAACACATACTCTCCGATAAAACACTGTTCCAAAATGTATTTCGGCTAAACACTCCACTCCACATTAAAGTTTTATGACATAATTATTAATGTTTATTTAGTCTTATCAAAATAATTAAATTAAATCATATCTATTGAGTTTATTTTATTGTGATTGTAAATTTCCCATTTTGAATTCCCACTTTCCCAGTGGCATACATCGTAAATAACTGCAAAACTCTGGGCTGCTTGAGTCTTTTCAAAACTCGCAGCATTTCTCTCCAAAACCCTAATCCAGTCACCGAGCCCGTATTTTAAATTTCTTGTCGCATTTTTTAAGCCGAAGTTCCGTACTACTACAACAGCAATGGGTACTCTCTCTACCTGCAAATCCAATTTTCCTCACTTACATTCTCATCAATTATATATACAAAAATGCATGTATATCGTTCTTAAGGAGATTTTTGATAGATTTTAGTTTGGTGTGGAATTTACAGGGGCGTATACTTATGTGTCGGAGTTATGGAAGAAGAAGCAGTCCGATGTTATGAGGTTCTTGCTGAGGGTCCGCTGCTGGGAGTACCGTCAGCTTCCCGCTGTTGTACGCGTTACCAGACCCACCCGGCCCGACAAGGCCCGCCGCCTCGGATACAAGGCCAAGCAGGTATATGTACCACACGTGTGGATATAATATATGTGTGTGTATCTATGTGTGTGGTAAGGTTGACCCTGGGTAATTCAGTAGCCTAATAATTGAGAGGCTGTTACATTATGGATCCCATTAGTTTGGTTTACTTTTTGTTGATTTAATCTATTAAAATGTGGTTATCATTTCTCTAAAATTCTACTGAAATATTTATTTAGTTCAAAAATGGGAACTTTGATTATGTTTCAATTGAAATTTTTGCACAGCTATGCTATTCCAGGGGGTGCCTTTGAATTTTATTCTAACAAACTACTGTTAGTTATGCTAAAATCTGTTTTTGATTAACTTTTTGGTGGTTTGATTTAGCAGCATTATAAAAAGTTATTACTTCCACTTGAAATAATTTGATTGATCATACATATAGAATTAAGCATTACTTTTGTATATGCAATTTTCTTCATCAATGATGTTTATTTGTTAGATTAATATGGGGTGTATAATGTATTGGCGTGATTTCTGTGGAAGACGTTTTTGTTAATGATATAATGAATGTATTTTTCCTTGTAATTCCTTGATAAATGCATTTTCATTTGCCTACATTACCGTGTCAATGGTTTGCACTTCGCTGTGTTCTCTGTATGGCTTGATTTTTCTTTCTTTTGCTTTATTACCTTTCATGATAAGTAACTGAGAGTTTTAATTTTTAGGGATACGTTATCTACCGTGTACGTGTGAGACGTGGAGGGAGGAAGAGACCAGTCCCCAAGGGTATCGTGTATGGTAAGCCCACAAACCAGGGTGTTACTCAACTGAAATTCCAACGCAGTAAGCGCTCTGTTGCGGAGGAACGTGCTGGAAGGAAACTAAGTGGTCTTAGGGTTCTGAACTCTTACTGGATCAATGAGGTTTGTTTGATAAATGTTTGCTCTCCCACACCCCAAGATTTGCTCTTGTAGAATTGTTTGTTTCCTGCCTTTTAATGGAATATAGTACTAGTGCATTTGAAACTTAGGAGAATAAGATGACTTCAAATTGGCGTTCATTGATTTCTCAATTGATTGCTGCCTGACACTAATACTCTTGGAAAAATCACGTTTTGTTGCTCAAATGAATGATCGACAATAACATGCCAATTCTCATTCCTTGGTTAAAATCGTGAAGATGAAGGGAAAAATTAATTTCAGTGATTCTTTCTAGTCGATGTAACATTAGTGGACCTTTTATTGGAGTGAAGTTCATAACTCTTATGTGCTGTGCAGGATTCAACTTACAAGTACTTTGAAGTTATATTGGTGGACACAGCCCATACTGCTGTCCGTAATGACCCAAGGATCAACTGGATCTGCAATGCTGTCCACAACCACAGGGACCTCCGTGGTCATACCTCAGCAGGAAAGAAGTACAGGGGTCTTCGTGGAAAGGGGAACTTGAANAACACAGGGAACTCCGTGGTCTTACTTCTTCTGGAAAGAAGTACAGGGGTCTTCGTGGAAAGGGGCACTTGAACCACAAAGCAAGACCTTCAAGAAGGGCTACCTGGAAGAGGAACCAGACACTTTCCCTTCGTCGTTACCGTTGAAAGTGATATTTTTGTGTATTTTTATCATTTTCTTAGCTCTGGTTTCCCCTGTTGTAGGATTCTTTATCATCTTGTGCAAAAGTTTCAAGTTACTTTTGCCAAACATGTTTATCTTTTCGGAACTCATGGTATTAAATTTGATATTCTTTTGTGATCTTGAATTTTATTATATCATGACTATATTATCAATGGATTTTCTGGGAATTTCGGCGTTGTCACATCTTATTTGCTGTTGTTATCTCATAATCATTTTTCTCAATTTGTTTCCTTATTTTATCTGAAGGAATCAGTAGTCGAATTTTGAAGTGTTTGAAAGAAAATGAATGTTAAGAAGTGCGCCCCCAAGTGAGCGAGCCGTCTCTTCCATCAGGGCTATCTGAAGGCTAGCAAGTAAATACACAGGAGCTCATGAATAAAGCATGATTCTTGTAATGGAATCAGTTACTAAGAAATCAATAAGGAATCACTATCTATCATTCCTCTAGAAAAATACCAAACTACTCCAAGGTTTGGAGGGAAATCTATAAATATTTGAAGAAGAATAGATGCAATTCAAATATCTTTATATCAAATAGTTATTTTTCCTCTTGCTCCTATTTGAGTATCAAAACTAGTGAGTTTAAAAAGTAAAAATCATAACTTGGTGAGTAGGATTTGTTGATCATATTTAGTGGTGGCAGTGGGCCGAGCCGAGCCGGCTCGGCC